TTTGATCTAACAGAAAAAGGGGACTAGAAACTATTTGAATTCACAGCATATGCATTAAAAGGCATTTTGTTTCCTGCTGATTCAGGTAGTGGGGCCATGGTGTGAACTATTATTGGATCACAGCTCACCACTGCTTCCTGCAGCAAGGCATTGTCCAGTCCCAAGGGCCAAGCTCTTCTCTCTTGTGAGCAAAAGACGTCACGGGTGACTGAGGCAGATCCCTTCTGATGTATTTGTGCCCCTCCTGTTGCAACAACCTGTTGCTTTTCGCAGTGATGCACCCTGCTTCTAAACTGACCAACTTCTCCTCCTGTCTTCATCAGCTAAACTGCATCTGTGGTGTACATATTAACAAATACCCTTATTCACTCCTGTCTCTGTGATCCCAGCTTCCCCAACTCGCATCTGTTCTTTGCTTGTTAACCCTTTACACGCTGCTAAATTGGACAGGAGCTCTTTAGACCACCTTTGTTTATCTGATAGTGTACTACTTAGTACCAGGAGAATTAATCTCATTTTTGAATCTTTCATCACAATATAGCAAAATAAAGCAATAATGTTTATACTTTTATTTTTTTATCACTGCCAACAGCACTGTGTTAAAAAAGGCTCTTTTTAATAACACATACTTTCCTGTAGTGTGGCTCTTATGAAATATGTCCTTGTCATTTTTCTGGGACTGTTCAGCAGGAGATGCCAGACAGGTTAATTATTACCATTTATTTGTGCAGGAAAGATCATAAAAGTTGTCTGCAGCAGAAAGCACGCACTCCTTGTTGCCAAAAAGCAGATGCTGCATGAATAGAAGCTGGAGAAGCCACCTGCTCACATTGCTGTGATGTTTCTGCCTGCAAGCTACAACCACCACTCTTAGAAGTCAGCAGAAAATTTAGGCACATTGCTTTGTTCTGTCCTTCCCCACTCTGGTGCTAATTTTGGACAGCCAATGAATTTGCAATCTGACCTTTTATTCAGCAAGGGTAGGACAGTCCATCAAACCCATGTAAGCCACAGCAGAACAAGCCTCAGGAAAAGCACATGGTATCAGACAGAAAGATAGAAGCTCTGACCACGGTCATAGCCTTCACAGCTACTGGGCATCCTTGTCCTTTAAACAATCTTTAACCCACAGGCAGCAGTGCATTCCCACTGTGTAAACATTAACTTTTGGGTCAAAGGGGACGTAGATGTGCATGGGTTAATCACCCACTATTTCCCTTCGTGCTCCTTCTATTCAAAAATATGATTGAATTTTAAGTTGGTTTGCTCACACAGTCCAGACTTCATTTTAATCTAGTCAAGAAAGAGCACGTGATTTTATTTATGAGCTTGTCTTGTGCTCAACATCTTTTTGAGAGAAGTCCATGGTGGGATGATGAGAATAAACCTCCCTGTGCAATTCCAGTAGGTATGGAACCAGCATTTCTGTGCACCAGTAAAGCCAAGGGGCACAACAAGCTCAGCAATACAATGCCAAAGTAGGAAAAAGAAAACACATTTCTGTGTTTAATGGTATTTGCAGCAGGTGTTGGCTAAACAGCTGAACTGCCAAAGTTAGATTTCACAGTCTCTTTGCTGCCACAGAGAGCTCTGAACATCTAAACCACCTTCCTTACAAGCATGCTGGGGACTTGTCCTCAGAGCTGTGCTAAAGCATGCCTTTCCCAAAGCAACTAATGCTACTCTGAAAAACTCTTAAACATTGACAAATCCACTTTTTTCCCCCAGTAACTGTCTCAGAAATCATCACTCTCACTGTTAGGGAGCTGCATCTCATTTCAAGATCCATTCAGTCAGGTCCTGACTACTGCTGTTCATTGCAGCTTTGCCTGCACAACTGGAAATACCTTATGCTGCTCACATGGCCACTGTTAGTGACAGAGACACTTCCTAATTTCTCCTTTGTGTCCTCTTGTACCATAAAGAAATATATTTTCCACACTTACTGATCAGATGTCAGAATAAAAACAGTAGCACAAGTGGATAATAAATACTAAGAATAATACTTTTGGCTACATGTCACAGGCCCTCACTAGATGAGAGAGCTTTGCCATTGCTACTTGAAATTAAAAATTGGAACTGCTTTTATTTTTCTTCCCCTCTTCCACCTGAAAACTATGTGATGGTTTTTTTTTCATAAAATTCCTGTGTGTCTGAGGACCTAACACAGAGTGCTGCAGCAAAGCACACCCTAAGGAAAGCTTTACCTCTGCACACTTCCTGGTAACTTGCCAGCAAGTGACAGGTTCATCAATAATGATAATGGCTTTTTGTCGAGGCAAACTAGTGCACTAAGCCACGCACTTGCTCAACCCTACAAAGGAATCAAAGTAACCAGCATCCTCCTAAGGACAGTGAGACAGAAACACGACTTCTAACAAGAGGAACTGACTAACAAAAGAAATAGAAGGATTAAGCTCCCTTTGCTGAAAAGCAGAAGCAGGTTTTCCATCAGCGAATACTGTCACCTTGTTATCCACTGCGAAATGAGAACCCAAAGCCTGACTTCGCCGTAGTGACTGATACTGACTGCAGGCTACGACACAGCAGTTCATCTCTCATTTGTGACAAAGGCAGCTGCCTCTGCAAATATAATCAATAACAAAAATTTGTATTAAGGTATTTTGCACCCAAAATCCTGTTACTGGATAGGTTTCACATGCTTAAAAAGCCAGTGGCATCCTTGCTAAATTTTCCATGTTAAGAACATACTCATATTCATTCTGAGTATCCCCCCCAGTCATCGAAGTGGTCATAGATCAACCAGAAAGCTCTGCCAAGCCCCTTGGGAACAGGGAAGGCTCATGGTTTATTTGCTCTACATTTCACCTGCGTGTGCATGGGAGATCCAACGCATCTCACATGTACCTGCACGAGCCACCTCCACTGACACCTCTGGAACACAGCACCTGGGCACATATTTCTGCCTTGGAAAGAACACAGAGACATTGAGTATCTTGAATTTAAAGGGACTGGGTAACAATGTTCTGATGTGAAAAGTGTGTGCATGTAATACAAACCAGAGACAGACAGGACCAGAGATGAAGGAAAACAGAGAAAGAGAATTTCAGTGGTGCAGCAAAAGAGACAATGCACGGCACAGAGAAACAGAGAGGAAAATGGGAAAAAAGCGGAAACCAGAGAGCCGAGCAGGAAGCACAAAGAGGATTCTTTGTGACTTCTTGTGAAACAGAGGGGTCAGACAAATGGTGCAAATGGGGAGAGAAAGAGGGATGGTATTTGTGGGAACAGGGAATGAGGTATAGGCAGACAGAGGCAAGACAAACAGAAGGGTCACAGGGCATGGAAGAGGTGTGTGTGTGCAGAGAAAAGGAATGTAAAACACATAAAACAAGTGTGATATAGAAAAGTTGTCTGGTGTCACACCCCTAAGCTTGCAAGTGAACCATTTTTGGACAGCTGAAACAGGTAAGGTGGAAAAGCAACGTAACTAACTCCAGCTACTCACACACTCCTGGTTCTGACAAGAAGCTGGAACTTTCTGAAAAAAACAATGTAACATCACCCACATGCACAACTCCATTGCACATCACCTTGTCCTAAGAAGGAAAAAATATACCTAATTGTGGTTACCTGCTGAGATCTAAACAAACAAGATACTTATTCTGGGTTAGAGGCCTACTTTAAAACACACAGCCAGGTGAGCTGCAGCCAGGGGTTTGGCCACTCCAGAGATGCCACAGGGTGAAGGACAAAACAGCACTACAGCTTGCTTGTTCTGGTCTGCAGTGCCTTAGGAACCCGAGGGAGCCCAGATCTGGTTACCCTAAGACTGCACCTGACCTTGAGAAAACAATTCCAACTTTCATTGTCAAAGGATCAGAGACAGTCACTGGCACTGTCACAAGCTGCACAGCTCAGACACGTGTTCTTCATTATGAATATTCTGGTACCTTGTTTCTTCTGATTGTAAACTAACTGTAAACTAACAACCTATTTCACACAAGCACCTAAAAACTTACTGCACTCATGTTTACAACTGCTCCCAGACCTTTCTGGAAATGGCCTAAGGAAAAGCAAAGCATCAGTCTTTTTAATAAGTTTGACTGGTGCCCCCAGCTGTCACTTTTGTGTCTGATTAGCGGCAGTAGGCAGGTTTCCATTTATTTCCAAGCAGCTGCCAGAAGAGCTGCAGGCAGAGGTAATCCAGAGACTGCAGAACTCTGCTCCCTGTCAATTTCACACCAGCATTTTACTTTCTTCTATCCCCATTTATTATTAATCTCTATTTATATCTAACTCCAGCTCTTAGTTAGCCTTTGCCAGAGGCTTAACCATTAGAGGTGACTGTGAGGAAGGTGTGGAAAGAAGGAACTGCCATAAATCAGGCTTTTACCACTCCGTGGAATTCTAGCAAGGTGAGAAATCGTGCAAAGCTTGGGCTACTTAGGGAAACAAGACCCTGTACAGGAGATCAAAGCAGATCAAGTCTCCTTTATCCTTAGTGCTAACTATGTAAAGGAAACATCTCTACCACAGAACTCTCCTCCCAATCATGCTCAGTTCCTACTTTTTACACAGCTTTATATCCCTTCTAAATTTCTATCCATTCTAATTCAGAGGGTGTTCTTACATTCCATGTTTTCTGAATCCACTAAGTCCTCAGGTTCAGTAGGACCATGTCACATTTGTCCCAAACAAGCACTGTATAAAAACATACTTTTTCCATCAGTTTTCCATGAATTGCCTTTTAATTTAATATAAAAAACAAGACCACAATCAATTATGAAAAGATAAACAGGAGAACCTGATTTACTTTGCCCTCTCCAAAGTAAACAATTTTAATTTAAGCAGCAGAACTAACACCAGTTGTTTTCTACTAAAGATTTTCTTTTTAAGGCTTCAAATCTTTTTTTCATATCTTGCCTACTGCTTTTATCCCTTTTGAATAGGGATGAACAGTGTGCTCTAGGTGAAACAACACTCCATTCATTTAATGAAGGTATTCCCTTATTTTCCAGACCACTCCTTACCCATTGTTATGTTTTGCTCACTTCTTTTGGTCACTTTATTGTACATGAGAGGCCCACTCAATGTCATCTTTCCTTTAGAGGTAAAATGAATGCAAACCATTGCAAAGAGTGTCCATAAGTTTTCCAAATGAATACAAGGATGTCACATATACGTGCTGTGTATGATGAAGTTTCCCACAGCAGTGAGAGGCATTCAACTTATTGCACACTTTCCCCAGATGTTCCCATAGATCCAGATGGTCTGTAATCCTAAGCAATAATCTAGGCTCCCGATTATGTTTTTGGAAAACCTTTCCCAAGTCTTTTCCAACAACAGAAGCTTCAGCAGGCTAGCCAGCTGTAATATCATTTTACTCTGCTTGACAGAAGCATTACTGTCTTTGAGCATCCTATGGGAACAGGAATGTCTTTAGGAACTCAGAAAAGTTGTCTTCCACTTCTTCAGTGCTCAGTCATAATGAAGGAAGACTTCAGTGCTCAGTCATAATGAAGGCTCTTCAGTGTTCCTCCTCCAAACCTCTTCCTTTCAGAGAAGCCAGGAATCTAGAGGCAGGGAAGACAAGTTGTCATGTCAGAATCAGCAGGAGCTCCCTCTAGCCCACACTGTTACCAAGCCAACTGCAGCATCTTCCACGCCATCTCCAGCGTCAGGGCCACAGTGCTTCAGCTGCCTGCTAGAGGAGCACCTCTAATTAAACACTGCACAACTCCACTATGGCTCATCTGTTCTTTGGGGCTCCTTAAGACTTTTTGGCAAGGGAAATTGAAAGCCTCAATCCTAACACAGTTAATGACAGATTTCAAAGACAGAGTTCAAAGCAGATTCAAGTGCATACAAGAATTTCTCCTCCATTCATCTTTAAAACTATAAAACAATATAAACCAAGTCCTATCAAAGAGCTGTGGAAGCTTTATGCCTTCAAACCCGGGCAGCAGCACTTCAGTGGCAGCTGAAAGTACAGTTTTATCAATGGCTGAAAGCTTTAAGAAAATCACTGGGATAGAAATGGTTGCAAAAATACAAAGGATTAGCACTCCTGCTTTTGCAGCCCATCTGCACACACTGCTTACACAGTGACAATGGATGTTTACAAAGAAAATCATCAGAAACCATCAGAAGCTTCTCTGGTCTTAACAGCATTTCAGACAGATTTTCAATCCAATGCACCTGTGAATCCCCAAAAGGTGATGTGCTGCTTTCTAATACTGCATATCTGCCCTACTGGCATCATAAAACTATTTGATTACAGGCCAGAGTAACTTTTACCTTACTTACTACAAGCGAGCAGAAACAGTAGACTCTGTAGACACACCCACCCAAAACAGTTCCACAAATTCATAGGAAATACAGTCTGTTAAAATGGAGGAGGTCAACCAAGCCCTACAAATCATGCCAGAAGAACATGGGCATGTATGGGACAAAAACATCACCTACAATTCACAGCAGATTGCTCAGGTTACACATTTCACTGGTAAGCAGAGAGCTGAAGAGCTTTCCCAAAATAAAAGTCCCATAAAAACTCCACAGATTAAATTTACTTGGGGTTTTCAGGCCCAAAATTCAATTATGCAAGGTGTTCACTAAGGTACTGGTTTATTCATCTCTGAAAAGCAATCATCTCTAAGGATAAAATCAGGCAGATTCTGTACAAAGGTTCACCTCATGAAAACTGCTTCAGGAATTTAAAGAGGAAAAATGCAATCATTATAACTAAAAAGTACCTGAACACCATAGGTAAAAAGTTATCTGCATTAGCATTTTTTACATCAAAGTCACTAATTAAGAGCAATAATTATTTATTTATCACATATCTGATTGAAGTCGTGGCTATGAACAATTTGAAACTTATCATTCTTTTCATCCTGAAGAAGTTTTTAACAGAAATACCTCAAAACACGAATGATCGTAGCGACCTATTGTAGAAAACCCACAAACACATTGGTAAGAGTTACATTAAGTAGACAACTTCAAATGATAACATTAAGAGGTTGTACTGAAGTCTCCATTTCCAATTTGGATTTTGCCTCTTTAAACATGACTGTTTGCTGTTTAAGATTTGTTTTGAGCTTTTGAGCTCCTGTCAGGGAAGTAGATAGTCATCAGCAGGCTGCAATCTTTGGCACACAGCCAAAAGGAATGTACAGTTAATCCCTGGTTAGCCACTAAATTGGATCAAATGATAAAAATAAAAATCTTACATCATGCATCAAAGACAACCAGCACACAAGCAGGTTTCTGCATTAAGATATTATTCCCATGAAAGAGAAACTTCCTTTCACTAGAATGTGTGGAGGAGAGGGGAATAAAAAAAGGCATCATGCAGAACTGAAAGAGGCAAAAGCAAATTTATTTTCAAAAGGCACTACAAAAGTGCTCAAAGAAAGGAAGCATTTTGTAAGCTGTGACTATTTCCCCCCCACACCCCAGGGGCTTTCAGCACAGCTACCTCTAACAATGTACAGGTGTGACTGTACTTCAGAGATGCTTTTCATGGTAATTTGCAGCACCTTTACATAAGGTAAATGCAACTTCACTACTCCCCGCATGGCAGACTGCATGTGGGAAGGTGGGGGGCACAAAAGCTGAAGTGGCCTGCTTAAATCAGAATTCATTTTGCTAGTACTTCCCCAAGTACTACTGGCTGAAAACAGTTAATTCAGTCCTTTAGGAATTAATAACAAGCTGATATCATACTGCAATTTTCCTAGTGGCTCCACTGAGTCTCTGGAAACTACCTGTATTAAACATAAAATCTCGTTCCAGCTGTACAAAAAAACCCTTTCATTGACCTTCAGGATATCATCTATGGCCTTAATCTGCAATGAAGCAGCCTGAAGCTGACAGAGCTGAAAGAAATCATATTTGCCCATTTTACCTCATTCTTCCAACTTCCACTACATTAGCATACTTAAGTATTTCACTGCCAATCGCTTTACAGACAAATACTTCAGCTGACAAAAGTCAGCCATTCTTCTGTCTAGCCTTAACAGCTGTGCTCCCACAGATACAAGAATTAAATTACCAGCACAGATTGTCATTTAGGTTGCACAAAGCTTGTGTTTTAAAGAGGACTATGTCAGCAGTTCACATTACACGGGGAGAAATGAAACAAAAGAGGAAGAAAAGTAACAAACCTGATTGCCATCTCTTAAGAAGTATCTCTTCTCTATGACCTGGAACAACAGAGAATGATCTTAGCTTGCACAGCACATGCATAACCTCGGATTGCAATCAACACTTCACACATGAGCACTGAAACTCATGGCTAACTGGGACAAGGTCTGACCCCACATCTCTGCTCCAGGCCTACTGCTTTAGTGCAATGCTCTAGCACACACAGCAGTTGCCACCTACAGCCATTCTTAGACAAGCTGTCTAAGCTGTCTAGTCATCCTCAACTTCAACACAGCCCTCCTGGGTAATGGAGGTGATGGTTTGTGTGTCTCCTGCTTCAGACTCAGTTACTCCCATTCCCTCTGCAGGGATATTGGCTCCTACTACTGCACAGTAGCCCCACTATGCCATCTTTGCCCAGAGGATGCTTAAAACAGAGCACTCCTTCTCTCATTGCAGAGTGGACCTTTATGGTCTCTTTTTAAGGAAGGGAGAATAATATTCTTAATTAATTTATTAATTCCTAACAGTTGCTTTAACTAGGATCAATAGAAATAACCAGTCTTGTATCTCCCCACATTAGAATGCTACAACCCCTCTGGCTTGCCAGACTTCAAAAGCGTAAAGCAGAGTGTCTTTGCACATTTGTGAGTTCTTTGTCACTGCTCTATGCAGATCAGGAACTAAATCTTCATGCAAATCAGCTATCTCCTGTAGGGTTCCAAAACCAGATCAATCTTTGGCCTCCCCACACCTGACTTGAACTACCTCAGAGAGTGGAATGTGAAAGGAGCAGCTTAAACTGTTGCTCATGCTCAAATGCCAGTATTTGATGCACAGGACAATAAAACATCGTTTAATTGACTTACCTTATCAAAAAACCTGCTTAGTTTGACAGCGTTGGATGAACCTGCAGCCAGGTAACGAGGATTGGTGCAGTCCTAGAACACCCAAAAGACAACAAACCAAGCACAAGGAAATCAGTGCAAGGAAGCCAAACACAAGGAAATGGAACATACCCTTTCCCCCTGACACATACCATCAGCAAAGGAAAACAATGGATCTGCTGATTTCTGCTCCACAGTCACTTCAGAGAAAAGACCAACTGCTCTGTGAATCAACTGCAGAATTCCAAGCAACCCCCAATATGCTCCACACCTTCCTTCCACCACCAGCTATACAGTCAGGCAAGGATTTGTACAGGCTACACCTGAGACTGGGAGTGTGAATACAAGCATTCACACAGCACATGTATATTTTTATACCCATAGATCTATATAAAGTCATCTTCATGTTTAATTCAAAGACAGTCTGTGTCAGAGCTATCAACAAGAAAAAGAAAATTTAACTCCAGCCAACAATTCAAAGCTTAAGGGACCTTATTTAACACCCCTTATATCCCCCTATAGTGAAACAAAGATATCTGTTTCATCAAGCAAGGGGCAAAGCCAACAGAAACGTGAATGACTGGCATTACCGGAAAAATCTCCAAAAGCCAAATTTTTGTTACGTCTTTACTTACTAAAAATTGGACTCACTCCTTTACAAAAGAAAAACAACAAAGATGACAAGGATACTAACCAAATTTATCTCTTCAGCATTGAAATCCTCAGCCAAAAATGCTGTTCTGGTCAAAACTTCATTCCTCTTCGTTTCTGGGATCTGATCCAGTTTAGTTCCTATTACCAGCAGTGGGATCTGGTTATCACCAAACTGTTCATGGTCATAGTCACTGATGAGAGAAAGAAAGACAATCCTGAATGAGACAATGGCCATCTAAGTGGGCACAAGTACAACATCATCTCAGCTGTGCCTCTCAAAAACCAATAATTTATTTATAGTGGTCCATTTATCTAAGTTAAAATGTGCAGTATCTTTAAATTAAGGAAGGGCTTCTGCACCTAAGTCACTACATAGGAATCCAAGCTTCAATCACTCTCCTTAGCTAGGACAATCACTTGTCTGTCATTTTTACCTAAACCAAGCTTTCTAGCAAGTAATTTTACAACCAACAGCAACAACTTGAGCAAGGAACTGCTAGTGGCTGAACATCTGTCCTTGACAGAAGTTAAATTTCTGAAAATTAAAACAATTGTGAAGAACCTATCTGTAGAGATACTGGAGAATTTTGCAGTTTATACAATGTAAATCCTCTTTCCCATCTCCTACATTTCTACAGAACTGTTCTGTGTACTACAACAGACAGATAAACAATTAATATTTTTCCTTCAAGAAGCTACTCCTCATTATTGCCTTCCTGCTCACGTGTGAGGTTTAGCAATGATTTTAAAACCTCCTTGACTAGATGGATGACAGGAGCAAAGAGGTGCAGGAGGAAATCCTTGACAAGGTGTTGGAGAATTAATTATGAACATGCTGTTTAAGCAGAGTTTTCTAAGCTCTTTTAGCCATGCTTCTAAAATAATTCCCCCATCACCCAAACCAAAAATATATGAAGTGAACTTCCTCAGTATTGGTGCATGGAGGGAATGCCTCTTTGCCCAGACACATTATCCCATGACATTTCCTGTACAATGGCATCTCTCAGTACAGACAAAGAAATCGTGTAACTGGACTGGACCCGCTCTCACAGAGACCTTAGACAAATAAAGGATCATAAACATCTTTTCCCTTAGAGCCACCCAGTTTGGGAATCAGCTGTCAGAATTGCCTGATATTGTCTGGCAGTATAAAAGAAAAAGAAAAATCAACAGTCAACTTTCTTTGATATTCCCAATTTCTTTCCTTCTTTCTTTCTTTTGAGTTTAACCACATCTACTTTCCTGTGGAGACCAAGTGGCCTTAGAAATGAACAAAAACTTCTACAACTGCTTGGAATTACCATGTCTGAGCTCTGCATGTTTGTTTTTCACTCACCCATTTGTCACAAGAACTCCTGTTGGAGCAACATCTCTGTTGAGTGCTTCCAAAGACCAGCGATACAAATTCTGAGATGATTTCTTGTTGGTCAAGTCATGCACTAAAATTATCCCTAGAGTGAAAGACAAGACAGCAAGATGCCATTTAAAGATACATATTCTCTTCCTTATCTTACCAAAATGACACCCACAGGTTCCCAGATATCTGAGAATGAAGGGATGTATAACCAGTCAGCTACAGTGAATAAGTAAGGCTGAAAATATCAGGATGCAACAGGTTTTTTTAAAGCTGCTTATCAAGAACTGGCTAAGAGCTAAGAGAAAAATCACATGAAAGCAGGAAACAAACAGCCATCTCAGGCTTTAATCTGCAAAAGGCTTGCAGGCATTCACTGATTCTGTCTACTTCTCATGATACTGAAATTCTGTATAACTGCAGCAGAAAATTTAGCCTTTCTCTGGTAAACGTAATTATTTTTTATCACACCATCTATAAAGTCTGAAGGCTTTTTCTTTGTTTCAAAAGAGTTCAGAGAGAACTACTGCCTTTCCTGCATTTTCACGAATTAATGCTATATATTTGGGGACATATCCAAAGGGGAAACAGACACTGACAAAATTTCATAGTCTACTAAATAGCTGGTAAAAGCATGAATTAATAAGATTTATTGTACTTAAGTTTCTAGCATTTTTCATTTCCATGAGCCTTCAAAATGTAAATTCTGAGACAGAGTCAAGCTTCCTAGCTGTGCTATTAACAGACACCCACTTCTGATAACCACAGTTCCTAACTCAATTACCAACTCCTGCTAGCAAATTTCTTCTATTTATTCACACCTTCTGCAATATGTGGAATGTTCCCACTTCCTCCAGACTTCAAACTATCATCAATTCAAGGACAAAATGGAATGATACCCCTTATCTGCACTAGGATTCATTCTCAAAATACTTCACAGCCTACAGGTGGAAAAAACTCACTAATTTAGTCTTTCACCATAACTTCCAGAGGTGCCACCCACTGCACACACCATGAACAAACCACATTTCCACAAACATTTTCCACTACCCCACATGACTGTGCACAGACTCTCCCACGAGAGTTCCCAGCATATCACATATTTCAAAGCATTTATCTCAGTAACAGTATAAAAAGGCAACTCTGCTGCGTGTCCACTCCCAGTGTAGAGAGAAAATGCCTGATACAACATAACTTGGCCTACAGCAACAGGTCCAGAGGCACTGCTGCACAGCCTGTGAGAAACACTCTCCACCTCCACACACCCTCCCCTCTGTCATGTCTTTGGTCAGTTTCCTTATCTGCTTCACCTAAAACCTGCACAGTTCGCTGCAGCAGCAGGAAAAGACTGGCAACATCCAAAAAGAGCAGGCAGGACCAAAGACTACTCAAAGAAATGCTCCCCCCACAAGGTCTGCAAGCCACAGCCTTACTGCCCAGTCACTGTCCTCAGCTATCACACCACACCAAGTGGAGAGGCAAAGAAGATCTGTGGATAATCCAAAACCAAAGTGTACCAGCCTGGTCAACAACCCAGCAGCCTGCTCAGCTGCTGCCACAACCAAACACTGACTGGCTTTCAGACCACTGCAAGCCCAGAAAGCACAAGCAGTCAGGCAGAAGGAATGCATTCATCTTTTCTTCTTAAATCAGGTCAAGCAGAGGCAATTTGTGAGACAAGCTCTAATGGAGAAATTAATCTAATGAAAGAAACAAGACCCAAGGTTAACTACCAAAGTCAACACTCTTCATATGCAAGCGGTCTAATTAGTATCTTTTGGGCAGTGGAGATAAATAACTCTATTTTAATGTCATCAATTATAATTCAAATGCACAAGTCCAAGACTTCATTTCCTAATGGCCTGTTCTAAGGTATTTCCAAGTCTGACCCACACTTCCTGGCACACTGTAGATTTGGTATCAAAAAGAAATCAATTTTTTTTCATATACCAAAGAGGCTTGCCTTGAGGGCACAACTCAATTCTCATACACACAAATCTGGTTAACAGTATAAGCAAGAGGTACCTAACACAGTTTTCCCCCTGAGAAAGGAGGAAGAAATAATTAGTTGGTCACAGGCCAAAAATGTTTATTGTGTGGCTTAACATGTTATTGAAAAGTCTTCAAATGAGTGGGAATAAGCAAAGAGAATCAAACAGAACACTTGAGCCAGATTTTCAGATGCAGTTGTTAGTCTGATACACATCTATTTTTAGTGAACTATCCTGGGATGACAAAAAGTAACAATTGAAATACTGCACTGTTATGTTTATAATCTCTTATTTGCTCTTGTCAGAGACACAGATGAACTACTAGGCCTTTAAGACAATATCTCAACAGAAGGCACAAAATACTACTTCCTACATATGCAGCAAGTTGCAAGATTCAACTCTTAAAAATAAGTTGGTAAGCTAAATGAGCAGAGGCAAGATGGTTACCAGCATATGGCAATTTTATGGGACACAGTTCAAATTTGCCAGGGTAGGAGGTAACTATCAAAGTTCATAAAAATTGAAATAATCATTTTTCTGCTGTAGGTTTTACAACCGAACAGACAAGAAAATATAACTCATAAAAAAGTCTTAAAAAATATAAATCATATTTCTGCAGTATATCAGACCTGGAAAGGTGAAGGCAACCACTGCACCTTCAAAGCCTCCCTGCTGTGCCAGCTGCACAAGACTGAAAGGAAAGACTGATAGAGCTCATCTGCCCAGGTTTGCCTGAAATATCAGCTGTTCACAACTGCATCCATGAAATTCTGCCTACAAATGGTATCAGGTTTGTTCCTGTATAAATCAGAAAGCAGAACAATGCAGCCCTCAGGCAGGCTGCCTGAAACTCTGGCCCAAGGGACAGCTCCTAACAGAAACACCAGTAAAACCATATTTACACCAAGCAAACTTACCATTCAGCAAATTATAGAACACAGCTCGTGTGCTTTTCACACTGGTGGCACTGCCCACAGAACCTCCAACATCCCACAGCTCAATGTAATAGGTCTTCTCTTCTGGGGTTCCTTCTTTGTAGTCATGGATCTGATGAAAAATTCACATCACACATCACCACATCACCGTGTCACAGGAGTTAATCCACACGGCACTTACACTTTCAGCTGGAAGGATTATTGCACTTGGATAGAAAATTGGAAATCCTCAGGCTGACACCATTTCAAACCTCTCAAGTGGAAGAGAGATGGAATGAGTCAAGTAGCAGCCACCACAGAGATGGAGATCACCATCTCATGTGGGAGGGAGCCTGGTGAGTAAACAGGGAGCATCTCAGTGTTAACAAACCCAACATCTCATGATGTGCTCAGACACAGTGTTTTGCTAAAGCAAATGGAAAAATTAAGGTCTTGACTTCTTATAGTTGTTAAAACCCAAACGGCAGCACTGCAAGAATATTAACACAGGTGACAGACCTGGATTGCAACTGACCTCATCTTTTTCCTACCCAAACTCTGACATCTCAACTGAATTAATCAACAACTTCTGCCCCCGGATCTGCTGAGTAGTTTTGCTCCACAATCAAACAGGACTGCCATGTTCCTCTCCTCAGATTCTGGAAACACATTCCTAACCTAGGGCAATGCATTTCAAGGAGAATGCAGCCAAGAGTGATGAAGGAAAAAAGCATTTATCAATGAGGGCTGGAGGCTGGGCCAAAGAACTGCTGGATGAGCATCCTCATTCTTCCTACAGCAGGTCCTGCAGCAAGCAGTCAGGAGGAGAAGCAACGCCACGGTCACAACTGTCACCAAAAACCAGGAAATAAACTCTCTAACCCAGTTAGGTTAGAAAATCAACACTACTTTATTCAGCAGTGAGGTGCATGAGTAGCTCTTCACCAAAACTTACAATTGTTTATACATTTTGGCAAACAAAGGAATTAGTGCTCACTGGCTTACAAGTGATGCAGTTCTCTTCACTAATTAGTATTCAATCTTTTATGGGTTATTGATTTTTCACTTCTCATGATAAGTAGCCCACTTTTCCAGCCTTTTTTATTATCTTATTCCCAGGTAGGGACAGTCTTATTAATTGTCTTTGTTAGTTTCTTCTTCAGCTCTGCTCTCTGTAACGCGTCTTTGCGATTTACAAATTCTGCATTCCTGGTGCCCAGGTCTCAACAATAAATTTCTCCTGTCAATTTCCTCACCCAGCACTGAAGCATGCCAGGCCCTACATTTTAATCTGTTTTTCTAACACATGAGCATCACACAGAGTTTTCCTGTGTTCCCACAAGCTAAATGAGTGAACTGTTTTTCCCCACTGTGTTTGGCTGACAGTTTGGCTGTTCCTTGCCTGTTTCTCAAGGAACTGGACACCGTGTAACTTGTAACACGCCGGTGGCCCCTGCAGCAGGGAGCAGAGCTACGGGTGACAAATGTCTTGTCTGACCGTGACAGCCTTGGAAGGCCAAAACTTGCTTACACAAGTGCTTGGCTCACATTTGACGCTACTTGCATCAGAAGATGAAGCCCTCAGCAAAACACATGATCAAAGTACACCTCTTTCCGGGGCGGTAAGTAATTAAAATAAAAAGTCGAGGCCCTTCCCTTACACGTCAGGCTCAGGGCCACCGAGGGGCCGTGCACGTCACCTACTCGCACATCCACGGAGCAGCCCACTGTCCAGGACGGGTTTCCCAGCACCTGGTTGTGGCACAAGAGGTGAACGAGCGACGATTTCCCGACACCTGCAAGTGCACAGAGAGAGAACAACTCCTGCGAGGCGGTGCCAGGCTTACAGGGGGCGATGCCGGGAGCAGCACTGAGGGAACGCGGGCGGTCCCGGCCCCTCAGCGGGTAACGGGGAAAGAGGCGAGGAGCAGAGGGCCAAGGAGCGGCCCCAGGACACAGGGCCTGGGGACACGGACTCACCGGAGTCACCCAGCACCAGCACCTTGACCCTGTCCAGAGCCGCCATCTTTACCCTGCTTAGCAACAACGCCCGCCCACCGGGGCACCCGCCAATCGCGACGCGTGTTCTTGCTGCTCCTCCCAACCTATTGGATGCCTGCTTGAGGGGCCAGCGCGGTTCTCACTTCTGATTGGCTTATCCCCGGTGAGGGCGGGAAGTCGCTGTCCTGTACGGGCAGGCGATTGGCTGGTTTCCCTGTCGCTCGGCGCGCGGGCAGGGAGGGGGCGGCGCGGCGCACGCGCCGGCGGCGAGGGCAGAGGCGCGCGCGGCGGTGACGCGGGTGGCGGGGCCGCTGGAAGCGCCGCCCGGAGCCGGGAAGAGCTGGAAGCGGCGCCAGGTCAGTGCCGGCCCCGGGGAGCGGGGTGGTGCCTGCGGCCCGCGGAGGCCCCCGGCCCGGCGTTGGATGCCGCAGAGCGGCCCGCGGGGCCCGTGCTCCCCGCACGTTGTGCCCGTCTGGGCCCCTTCCTCGCCTCGGCTCCTTCGCACCGTTTGCCGTTCCTCCTGCGGTGTTTGTTAAGGCTTCTTTGTTTTGTTTTTTCTTTTCTTTTTTTTTTTTTTTTTTTAAAGAGGTTTTCCTTACCTCCTCTTACCCTGCAGAATCCCACACAGTTCGATGTTGAAACCTCAGCACACGGAATGGGCAGGGAGTGGGAAGCTGGGATTCTCCCCTGTGCCTGGCCTTAAAGCTCGCTGTGCTGTTGTAGGGAGGTCTGTGTCCTCTGTGACCCGGAGGAACGTGCAGGGTCATGGGCATCTGAGGAGGAGCTGACTGCAAAGCGAGCTCATTCCTCTTTGCCAGGTTTGAGCCAACCAGGCAGCTTTCAGTTTCGCAGGTCAGCAAGGTTTGTTCGGTTTTTTCTTTCTTCTTTTTCGTTGTTTTATGGGAGTTTTTTTTGGGTTTTGTTTTGTTGGATTTTTTGTCTTTTTTTTATTATTTTTTAAATTTTTATTTTTTGTGTATTACATTTCTTCTGGCCTCAGGAGTGTGCTGGCTCCCCGAGAAGCAGGCTCACATCTCATAGTGGCACCGAGCTGCTGTTAAATTGGTCCAGCTATTAGGCTTGTGCCATTCCAAGAGGCTCACAATGAGCAGGGAAGATCAGCATTTTGGAAAGAGTGTTCAGCTGTGCACAGCTAAGATGCATTTTCTGGAAGTCTAGGTGGCTTAATATTTTTTATCCACAAAAGGTGGAGTTTTTTCTTTCATCTTTTCCAGTGCAGTGGCCTCCTCTCTTATATGCTGGTTCTGTTGCTCATCAGGGTTCACCACCAGCTCACTGAACTGTTGAAAAACATAGCAAAAAGGGGAAAAAAGAAAATTTTCTACCTTTAAGCAATCAGTTTGTTGCACGGGATGGTGTTGTGAGGGCAGAGCCGTGTGCCTGGGAGAGGAGCACATGCTTTCAGGCAGGAGTGAGGCTTGATGGGAATTGCATTCCTGCCTTCCACTTCCTGTGACATACAGCTCACTTTCTCACAGGATGCTTTAGGGGATTCTTCTGAACAAGAAACTGTGTTAATTAAAGCTAATCTGGTGTCTTGTTACTTAGTTTCTTTGTTTCTTTATTGCTTGTATCCACGGTATATACTCACTTACTTGCACTCTAATGTGCTAAAACAGTACTGAGCCCAATACTTCCATAATTTTTCGTTGTCTTTTCTGGAATTCCCAAAAGGCAATATTGCTCACATCATCTATCATGATGAAAAGTGTGGTGTTCCAAGTCTTATTGAATCCATAATGTGAAAAGCAATTACTGCTTTTTCTCTGCCAGAAACAGAAAGGAATGCTGGAGTTAAACTCGCTGTGCTTTGGTGTAATCATGACTTCCTAGGCTTGATATGTGAGAGAAATTATCTTACTTTCTTCCCTTTAAGAAGAAAGGGAAGGCTTTTTTTGGGATCTTTCTTCTTTGAAGAAGCCCCCCAAACCTTACAGCTACATTATGTGAGGGCTGATGCTTACATGTCTCCGAAATAACACATATTTTAGGTTCAGATCAGAGTGTAAATTGTAAGAGTTTCTGGTATCCATAATTAAAATTTTCTAATATCATTGCATTACAGTCAGATTAATTTGCCACCATATGGGGAAAGCTCCCCACTCACCTACATCCTTAGCCATGCATGTTTTTCTCTGTTTTGTGTTGGCTCTAGTCTGGTAACCTAAATGATTCAGTTCTTGAACTTTTCCCCTTTGACCTCTCTGAAATGTCCCACTTTTTATTTTGGCATGTTAGTTTTTCACTTTTATAAATTGATTCTTGTTGCTGTATGAATAGTGAACTGCCAGAATTAGGACAGAAGGGTGTGGCTTGTGGCTAAAGGCAAGGAAGGAAAAGAAAGACTTCCTTAGGGGAGGGAAGGTGTAATTTGACGTAAGCTGCAACAGGAAATTTGTGTACATGCACACAGGTGGTCCTTTAATTTCCTGACACCTTGCTATTGTTTATGCTGGATTAAGATTATAAAAGTGATGGAGAATTACATCCTGAGTCTGCATTGTTCAGTTTCTGCCTGGTGTGGTCAAACTTTGTGACCTTATTACATCTGGCTCAGTGCGTTTTTACTTGTGAAATTAGGGGAAAACATCCTCATTTCAGCCAGGTCCCTCAGCCCTTCTGTGTGCAGCTGCAGCACAACTTCTCATCCTGAGTGAAGAAAACCCTTTGATACCTGTGGCCTTCTGGTTTCAGTTTATGGAAAGCCAACAAGAAGATGGGATTTCAGTGAAAGCCAATTGTTCTTTTCTGCCCTCATACTTCAAGGCCGGTCTGGCAATGAAAATACACTTATTTCTCATCAAGATGTAGTGCAGGAGAAAGGCTGAGCAGCAGTGTTCATGAACTCTCCAGGGAATGAAACTCAGTAAGCTCTTGATAAAATGTCAGAAGATTTTATTTCGCAACTGATGTGGGATAAAGGCAGTTCTGGGCTCACTACGGAGAAATGCAAGTGAAAACAGGACTTGAAAGAGGAAGATTCTGTGCCTCATTCTGGAAAGGATGAATAGTGTCTGAGGTGACGCTGTACAGACATGGAAAACCCTGACAGCATGTTTTCCCACTGTAGTTCTGAAACTTATGCCTTCTATTTCTGTTCTCAGGAAGATTCAGGATTGCTTCTCTTAGCTGAACCTCATCATCTTCTAAAAAGGAGAATTTTAAATCTGCTTAGAGTGAGAGACTACAAAACTGGCATCTGGTGTTTGCAAGTGACAGCTGGAGCAGGATATGGCGTGCACTGGCTCCAGGAAGCCTGTTGTACCTGCCACATTCACAGGGGAGGGGATTCTCTTATTATAACCTGATTTTGATTTTACCTGAAGAAACTATGTCAGTGGTATAAGCAAATAACTTTTTTGTCCCCTTTCTTAAAAATCTTGTGTCAGAAGCTTGCAGAAGCATTTTCTAAGCAAATCAGCAAAAGCTGGTTTCAAAGATGAAGTGGGAAAGAGCACTAATTAAGTAAATGTGGGGAAAAATAGGAAACACCTGTGCAAGTGTTAATGGTGTGTCTGATAGGTTCACAGCCAAAGCTGCAACTCCAGGTTTTCCCCCAACAAAGATCTGTGGTGTTACAAAAGCTTTGTATATCCATATGAATCTGAAGGGCAATCTGCTTCCTTTTTTAAGATCCTGCTTTTAAAGATCCTCTGTCAAATATATTAATAGTGAGACCATTGAATTTTCTGGGTAAAACTAATGTAAGTCTGAAAAGTTATGTGTTGAAACAGGATGGTCTGCATTTTCAGTGTTGGATAAAAATTCATACTGATTCACTGGGTGATGGATGTTTTCGTATTTTCTAGTACTATTTTCATCTACATTGTGGCTTCTAGGTTATCACCCTTCTAGCACTTTTTGTCTCACTTTTAGTCAGGAAAAGCAGGAAGAAAAACAGATCGAAGTTCGTTAGCACAATTCCTGTTAGAGTTCATTGGAATTGAAAACTCTTGAAATTGTTGTATGTGGAGAAGAAGAGTTCAGTTGTTTTGATGTTGCATCAGGAAGAACCTGAAAGTGAAGGTGTTTGCTCAAATCAGTTTCTGGCTTCTGTGTAGTCTCTGATCCCATCATACCAAAGGGTTTTTTTCAGTCACTTGTTCTCCCCCTGACATCATTGCTGGTGTCTCTGGTTATGCTGAAGGCCTCATACCTTTTACTAAGCCTTAGGTACAATCTTGCAGAAGGTACCCTTATTTTCTTCACCCAGCACATCTGATTGCGTTGTGTAACTGTAAGTCTCTTTTTCCAGTGCTGCCTTTTATAGACACATCAATATTAATTCTTTCAGTTACAGCAATTAAAAAAACCCAAAAGTTGTGTGTTTAGGTTTGCTGTCCTACTGTGTTAACACAGACAGGTCTGCTTGCCTCCTATGCCCATAATACTGAATTGTATTAATGTGATTACCCAGAACAATCCCCCACCAACTGTCTCTTTTAATAAAGTCCATGTTTAAATTTGGAAATTCTTCTTTTGGCTATTTCTGAATATGATGCTGTCCAGTGTGCCTTATTATTGATGCTGTAGGTGCTTACTGGCATAGCTCAGTACCTTGGCCATTGTATTTTTTTTCCCTGAAAATGTTCCTTGATGTTCATAAATTATTAAGGTCAGTTCAGACATTATTATGAAACAGATGCACTTCCATTAAAACCTTGTTAAAGGTGTTACCATATTTCTTTGCACATGTAATTAATTCAGGTTTGACTTACTGCTTCAGGGGAAGGTGAAGTCATTGCTAAAGGATGCAGTGGTAAAGTCCCCTGGGTTTGAATTTTGTGAGCTGAATCAGTGTCTTTTTTGCTTGGTGAAAGATGGTAAGAATTTGCAGTTTAGGGATTAAAAGCCTTGGGTTCTTCATGGACCAGACACCAGCTTGGACTGGTGAGATCTGGCAGTGTTTTGTTTTTGTTTTTTTTGGTTTTTTTGCCTTTTAAAGATGGCACTAGTCAGTTGTTTGTTTCACCCAAAGACTGTCTTCTGCAGGATTTAGAACTGTTTAGAACTTAGTGTTAATCCACTTTTTAGAGTGGAGGATAACAAAAAAGAATGGTTTCTGGTGTTTCCAGAATGCTTTCCATACTGTATTTCCATCTATCCCCACCTAGAAGAAAACAGTAACACAGTCAAGATGCCCTCTGTTACCTGAGGACACAGAAGATTTTGACATCACTCAAAATCTCCAGCAGAATTAGAAGAAACTGTTAAAACTCCTACTCCCACTAGATGAAAAAGAATATTTTCTAGTGATTGACACTAAGAAATATTAAATCTCTGAATGTTACTGAAAACTCTTAGAGTTGGTTTTATTTATTGGTCCCTTGTAGGTCTCTTTTTAAGCTGTTTGAGTGCGTTATTCAGGAAATTATACTTTAAACCTGTTTTGGAAGTATCTGTAGAAATCGGCAGCTGTCTTATCAATGCAGAGAAAGTGCTTTCCTTCAGCTCTCAGATGAGGTGTTCAGTGAGATGTGCTTATTTAAAAGCACTTTTCTCCTTTTTTATTTCAACTGATATCTGAAGGTCACTGTGCCCCTGCAAGCTGCGTCACCAAGTTTTTCTGCAAGGAAGTTTTAGGGAAAGTGGATTGTTAAGGAAAGAAAGTTGTCTGCTCTTCAGATGAGCACTTAACAAGCTTTTGACTTTAAAGATTTGACTTTAACTCTCCTGGGATGCCAGGTTTTATTTAAAATTGATCTTTACATTTATTCTTTACTGTGCTTTAGCTCTGAATAAGATTTAATCAGTTTGAATAAATCAAGGCTTTCCTTCAGCTTCTGCATTGGCATTGTTTTATAGTGTCAGTATGTTGCTGACAGATACAGTCAAAACCAAGATTTGTCTTTAAGTGGCTGAAAGACTGAAAAAATACCGACAGAATGGTGTTGATATTCTGTGACAATATCCTGTGACAGTATTTAGTTTTGGTCTGACTTGGAGATTCCAAAATACTGCATGGCTAACCCTTGGTGGGGCATAATTTATTGCTAACACTTATACCTTCAATGCAAAGCTCTATAAAGCTCTCCTTTGTGTGAGATGAATCACTGTGTCTCTGGCATGCAAGAGAAACCTGGCTGACTCTAGAAGTACTTGTTTCATGGTAAATTCGTGGTGTGATAGATGTGTTTTAATTGAATTTCCTTAAAGGGAAGCTGTAGCTGGACATCCAGGCATTGTTTGCTGGGAGCTATTCTCAGCCTGCACACCAGCAGTCAACAAATGTCATTCAGTTAATTTCAATTTCAGCACTGCAAATACCATTTGACTCTTAAGTTAGAGGAAAAGAAAAGCTCAAGCAGGGAAGTGTTCTGAAAGAAAACCACGAAGGTGGTGTTTTTCTTATCCAACAGGCAGAAAAGACAGGATGATCTTAATTGAGTTACTGTGAAGCTTCACATTCCACAGCCTAATTGCTTTGCAGTGGTACTGGCCATAACCCTTGAGAGAAGCATCTCTCTTCAGTGGCAGCAGAGGGCAGGGGTGGAAGAGGAGTAAAGCTTCAGTGGGTAATGCTACACTTTTTTGAAAGGACACTGTTTATCATAAGAAAAAAAAAATCCAAGAAGACTACTGTAATAAATGATCACAGGTCTTTGAAAAGTCTTAGCTGATGGAAGTGAGTCAGCAGCTGCTTGGTTACATGCAGAGTTGGTGATCTCAGAGGGATGTCAGAGTGGGGAGTGGACAAAAGTTGTGTGATGGTGTGTGTGAGAAGGCCTGTCAGTGGTTTTATGACAGTGATGAAAAAAATAGGATACTCATCCAGATCCTTTCTTCTGCTGTCGCTTTTTGCTTTATTTGATAGGCTTGAATACTGGGGAGATATATATACAGTCTGTGAAACATCTAATGGAAGTGAAAATTAGGACTGGCAAAGTTTTACAAATTAATATATTAGTTCACAGATACAAATTGCATAGTAAGAAAAAAAACAGAGATTAGGGTGAGGAGGGTGTTCTTTAGTGGTAGAAACCTTTTGCTGAAGAAATGGTTACTCGTGTCCTAAACTAGCCTAGAAAACTCGTACTGAAAAAGATAGTTCAGAGTCTTATTTGATGTTAGCTGGAAGTGCAACCTTCTGAATAGCTATCTCAAAACTACCTCTAATACTTTCTTTTTCCCTGGAATCCCTTCCCAACTAGTGTTTTCTGTGAGCTAAATATGGCAGGGATGACAGTGTGAGGAATTCCTTGCATGTGATTTTATGTATGTTGCCCTGTATGTCATAGTCATGACCATTTCTGCCATCTGTTGTGGTGAAGAAAAGTGAAGTGAAAATAGAGTACTTAGAAATTATTGTCTTGTCACATGCAGCCTGTGCATGTGACATGGTGGTAAGTAACTCAAAGGATACTTCATGGAATACTTTCTTATTTTTTAAACACATAATCACTTCATACATGGTATGTCTTGACTTCTGCTTCATTTATTTTGCTTTCAAAATATTCATGGGCTTTTAAGGCTTAAATGTGGGACTTTAAATGTAGGTTCAGTCCTCTGTAAGGACCTCTTTGCTCCTGTAAGAACAAGGCTGAAGCAGTTTGTGCTGTAGGAGTTGGTAGTGTTAATGGTTTTCATGCTGCAGATAGCTGACTGAGGACTGTTTATGAGCAAGGGTCTGTTCTCATGGTGCAGCTGGGAGCTTTTGCTGGAATGCATACCAGCCTGTACAGCAAGCTGTCCTCATAGTGCATCTCTGCCCAGGGATGGCTGAGGTGTTAAATCAGACAGGGCTGCTTACAATGGCATCAAGTGATCTCAGCTGAGGCCCTCAGACTCCACTCTTGGGCTGTCTTAGGACCTTTCTTCTTGTAGCCATTTTCTGCTTTTCCCAGTTTACAGGTCTCAGCTATCCCAAAGCTGTCTTCTGGAGGACAGCTTTCTTACTCAAGCTGTGTTGGCTGTGACTGAATACAAATGAAATCTGCTGTATGTTTTGGTACTTATTTCTTGCGTGCTTTTAAAAAAGTTTTACATTGTTTTGCTTCGAATTTTTTCCTACTTCTGTAGCATTATTGTCACCTAAGGAGACAGTACAAGGCTTAGAAAAGGGAAGTGGGAAACACCTCATCCTTTTCTTACCTCTAAGTAATATAAATAAGAACTTTGGAAGTTAGAAGACTAGCTAAGATTCCATTTGCCTTTTTTTCCTTGCAGTATACATGAAGCTCATGATCTGGACCTGCTATGACTGATCCAGACGTCCTCACTGAGGTCCCAGCAGCTCTCAAGCGCCTTGCCAAATATGTGGTGCGTGGCTTTTATGGCATCGAGCATGCTTTGGCTCTGGACATCCTCATCAGGAACCCCTGTGTGAAGGAGGAGGACATGCTGGAGCTCCTGAAATTTGACAGGAAGCAGCTGAGGGCTGTCCTCAACACCCTCAAGGGTGACAAGTTCATCAAATGCAGGATGAGGGTCGAGACAGCTCCTGACGGCAAGACCACGCGCCATAATTATTACTTCATCAACTACCGCCTGCTTGTCAACGTGGTCAAGTACAAGCTGGACCACATGCGCCGCAGGATCGAGACCGACGAGAGAGACTCCACCAACCGCGCCTCTTTTAAATGCCCCATCTGCTTCAGCACTTTCACAGATTTGGAGGCCAACCAGCTGTTTGACCCCAGGACAGGTAAGGGTACCGCTACCAGAGTGCTGTTGCAGTCTCCTGTGCCTGTAAGTGCTGGACTTCAAGGAGACAGAGCCTTAGGAAAATTCTCTTTGAATCTGGCCAGAGCTAGAGGGCACTCTGTTTCTGCAGGTGGTAAATGTTTGAGCTAAATACTAAAGTAGTGTATTAGATTTATACAGGCAAAGAGGAATCTTGGTGAAATGCTGTTGAGTGACAAGCAGCAGAGAAATGGAAGTCTTACTGAAGTCACCCTCAAGGGTAAATAAGACAATCTGTTGTTGTTGGAAGCTGATGGCTTTTCAGTATGACCTCTTGCCAGTAAACTGTAAGACTTCCAGATAGTCTGCAGAGAGGGCATGTGTAGAATTGATTTTAGTTGGTCATGCAAGAAGTGAGTAGTTACTGTTTAATATTCTCTAGCCTAGTGCATTATACTGCACAACCTTGCTTCCTCGTGCAAGGCAGCCTCACGAAAGTTAAAAGAAATTAATTACGGTCTTGTCTGTGGTTGGGAGTAAACAAGATTCTTATTCATGTATAAGTCTCAGTGGAAGTGTGTATCTGTCTCATGCATATGAAATGAGAGTCTTTCTTGGGTGTCATTGTTTACTTTCTGCTTCTGTGCCAGGGAATAAAAGGAAGAACACCTGCACCTGATGAGACTCTGTTTTGCTAATCTGGGATTATTCTGGGGGGAAGGCAGGGAGGTTAGGTGTTAATTTACTTTTTAATTTTTTTCTTTGGAATTCTGTGTCCTGATTTTACTTTTTCAGAAAAGTAAGAGGACAAAAGTTAAGAAAGCTCTCGGATACATTGAAGTATGATGTTTTGTGTCAGCTAACATAATGAGAAACAGAAAATTTGACTGCTTAGCACCACTGAAGTTTTTAATCTAGGGTTACTGATGTTTAATCTGCCAAGTGCAAACACCTAAGAAATGTTCAGCCTATTATTTTCCCTTTTTCCTGCCTCCAAAGCTAAAAAGCTGTGAAGCACCTTTTACTTGAGCAACCCTGAAGATGTTAATTAGTACTAGAGAAGCAGAATCCACTAAGTCAAGTAACAGTTGTTGATGAAATCCAGTGCAGCTCGCTGAGTAGAAATTGCTTCCTTGTAGAGCACCAAGCCAGCAGTGCCAGCACAGAATTTCTGTGCTCACCACTGAGTGTAGGAACTCTACATGCCCTCCACATTTAATGATCATCTGTGGTGTCTACGGTTGTGTGTGTTGGCTGAAGGGAAATGGTGCTTTTACCGTTTGCATTGGTAAGGAGAGAGTAGAGAACCTGTGCAGAGAGCACACGCAGTGGGGAGTGTGTGACACTGATCCCAAGGGGACCTGTAGCACTTAGCAAAGGCCTGTGGCCATTGCCTCCCAGCCTGTGTGGGCAGTGAGTTCTGAGAGCAGAGAACTGCCTGTCAAGGAGGTGCTGAAAATAATGCTGGGATTTGGCTTTGATACCAAGGCCTGTGCTCCAGGAACTGATAAGGTCGACCAAGGGTCTGCCTGCAGTACAGGCACTGGCTGTGTCCACAGTGTGAAATCATTCACTGGCACATGGTGTGTTTTGTGTTCTGATGGAGGAAAAGGCTGTGTGCTGTTTTCTCAGCAATTCCCAGGAGTTCTGTCAGTATTTGTGCAAGTAACAAGACTGTCAGTTTACCTCCACTTACTTTCAGTAAGAACATATCTGCCTAGAATTTACATATATTCTGTTTCTCCTTATATTGTTTTTGAGTCAATGATAGCTTCATCTAGCTAGTGCACAATATTACTGTTTTATGTCTGCTTTATATTGCAGTGGAATGTGTTGTCTCCATGTTTCCTACTGCTCTGAATTCTGTATTAGAAAAGACCTGAGAGACCCTAGGTCTTTCACAGAGGAAGCTCATGAAGTCAAGGCATGCAGAGAAACAAGGTTTATTAGACAGTGAAGAGCCATGCTTTTCCAAGAATGTCTTTAGCTCCTGTTAGTGCTAAAGATAAACCTCTCCCAGTCATGGAAAGTTGTGGCAGTACAACTGCTGAAGGTTAGCTAAAAGCCACATAGCTTCAGTCACAGCTGACCTGAGCTGCTCTTAGACTGCAGCTACGTTGATAAAACTTTGTGAATTAAAAGGCCTGCAGGGCCAAAATTTGTTAATCCATGGAGCAGGTAGGACATGGAAGGCATTCTCTACCCCAGTCTGGATCAGGCTGAGCTTAAGCTGAGAGCTTTTTGTTAAAAGATACCCTCTTTCACTGCCTGCCTTTTGTCCTTGTCATTCAGAGAGGGGTGTGATTTAGATGGCCTGTGTTTTCTTCTGTTTTGTTTTCCTCTTGCCTGTCTACACAACTCAAATGCAAACTCTGAGCAATTGTTGTAGAATTGGAAGAGTTGCTCTTACACTTCCTTATTAGCATGGGTGAAGAGATTTCCAGAACTTCTCCATTACTGTGGTCATTATACTGGAATTTGTGAATCAAGAGTGCTTATGAAGAGCCTGTTCATAATTTGGGTCTGTAGAGCTCTTTAATTTTTACCACAGCATCTGTGTCTACTGCTTGGATTTAGCAGACCTTTGTTTCTTACAGGTCAAGTAGCTCTCTTTTGGCTCTGTTCTTTATTCCATCTCTGAATAATGTTGAAATAAACTGAAGTGTTTATTTTTCATCAGAAAATGTGATTATTGATGGTTTTGGAGGGTAGACATGAGTCTGCTGAGAGAAAATAATTGATAATGAGAAGGGTGTATTTTCAGGACATGTAGGTACAGATGTGCTTTGGCTGCTGTTCAGTTAACTTGGAAAAAATATTTTGAACAGAGTAGCATGTTTGCCACTACAGTAATTTTAAATGTAGATTTTAAGTAGTAGAAGTGTTATTTTGAGAGTGTGTTCCCGCTTTTTACAAACACTGTAAGATTTTTTTCTCCATCCCTTTTTCTGCCATTAAATGTCTCAACCCAAAAAATTCCAGCGACTTTCTCTTGCTGTCAAATGTTGCACAGCTCTTTACTGGTACTTGAAGGGAGTTCAGGGATAGGATGTGAGACAGTGAAAGTCAAGATGATGCCAAAAACTGGAGTTTTTCTGCTGCTTCAACTCAGAAGAAGATCTTCCAAAAAGTGAAAAGAAATGCATGCTGTGTTGAAGAAGTTGCTTGGTTGGATGACCAGTGAGTGAGTGCCTGTTAACTCTGAGCATGGCATGCCCAGGTCAGGAGTTTTAGCCCCATCTCTTCTACCTGAGGAGCTCGAATGGATCTTTAGCTGTCACACTTTCTCCTCAGTGGTGCCTCCAAAGAAGCTGTATCAGTAACCCCTGGTTTTAGAGGCAAACAGTATGAACACAGCATGATTTTATTGTGTAAAAGTTTGCAATGGAAACTTGTAGCAAACCTTAGAAGTGCTTTCTGATTGAAGAGTTTGCCTATCTATGGAAATTGGTGCAGACTGCATTGTTACAGGCTAAGCAGCCACTTCTCTGAGTGTTTTGTAATCTACAGGTGGGAAAACAATAATGCTGATGAATGAAAACTGTTACTTCTAGCTTTGTTTTTCAGATAGGGTGACTGAGAAACAAAAAAGATGGTTGTTTTCCTGGAATATCCTGGTATGAACACTTGGTCCTTGCCTTTCCCTTGTGCCATCATCTGCTGTCTGACTGTGCTCTGGTATTTCATCACTCCTCATTCTGCACATGAGCAATAGTTTGCAGCTGCTGCTGTGATGAACTCTCATGAGGTGGAAAGTTTCAGCCATTTCCCTGAACAAGATAAGGGCTGTCTCTTGAGGCAGGGCTGTACAAGGAAAGAGTTTAGTTGAGGAGCAGTAAGAAAAGCCGTCTGTGAGATGTGTGATGTGAATAACACTGCTGAGCTCAGTCTACTGCCAGACCTGGGCTAACGGTGGACACTGGCATAAGGGAACACTGGGTTTTCCTGTTTCACCTAGAGATAAGATGTTACATTAAACCTATGGAAAGCATGTTCTTCTCTGTGCTTTTAATGTAGAAACTGCAGAAATTTGGGTTCTGCAGGCCAATCCCTTGAATCGCAGATCAACCTAAACAACTCGATACCATTTTGTGGACTGGATGTTTGGAGAAATGGATCCGCCCACGTGCGTTCAGTGGAGTGCTGGAGGAGCTGCATTTCTCACCCAGCAGAGGGCTCTGTCTTTGCTCTCTACAGATAGGCTTGGCCTGCTTAATCTACGGAATGTCACAACACAGGAAATTATGTTCATGGATGTGTGTTTCTGTAGCGTGATTAATTGGATCTGGCTGGAGAAGGTCTCTAATGTATCCTATTCTCATACCTTAATCATATTTGTAAATCTAGTGTAGCGTTGGAGTTCTGTCAAATTCAAGGTCAGTTTGAAAGAATGTATGTGACTAGAAACTGCAAAAGGGAGAGTGAGGTGGAACTGAAGGAGTGGCAGAAATGAGATTCTGCAGTGCATCACACTGGTATTCAGCCCTGGATTTTCTTAGGTATTCTAAATACCAAACTGAGTTAGGATACTCACCAGTGCAGCAAGTGAATTTGATGTTGAAAAGTGTAAGGCTAAATGAAGTAGTTTTTCCACTGCTCTCTTCCACCTTTGCAATATAATTTTTACCCAGTCTTGTGTTTCTTTCACTTCTGTTACTGTGAAGAAAAATCTTGATGTTACCAGTATGTTGTAAGGACAGCTGATCTCTCACATCCATCTATACATTGTGTCCTCACCATAGTATTCAGTTAGGTATGGTGTGAATAGTAGTGGAAAGAAAAGCATGCAAGACAAGTGGGTAATGTGAAGCAGAAAGGTGATGCTGGTTGGGATGTTCTTAATCACAATTGTAATCACCGAAGTATTTTGTTGCTTTTTGAATTCACAGCAGTTAATTGCTTGTCTGCTCTTCATCCTCCCACCGTTTGCTCTTGGTTTGGTGAATGATTTTGTGAGGATGTCTAGCTGTTCCTATAAATGTAATGGTAACATACCATGTATCTGTATGCCTTTCTTATTCT